CATTGAAGATTGAGATCGAAGATTGAAGATTGAAATTTGACCAATGAGGGCAAAGGAATTTTAGCTCCTATTATTTTGATTGGTCAAATTTCAATCTTCAATCTCAATCTTCAATGCCTAGTCTGATTCCGGCCTAAGTAGAAAGGTGAACCATTGCGCATAATGGCGGAGGTTTGAGATCTTGACCAATCAGGGCTTGAGCTTTTTTGCAACGCGCGCTGTTTAAAATTTTCAGAAATATGAGTATCTACGACCGTGAAGCATAAATATATCAAGAATCGGTCAAAGTTAAATGTTATAAATACAAGTATTTGTAATGTAAACAAATGAGACGTTACGGTGAATTATCGCTGAAATGGTAATGTAATGTTTCCACGACGTAATGGCCAAATATTTACCCGGCAGAATGTACATCTATATAACAAACATCTTAACATTGGTATAAATGTATATTCTCTCATTTTGATGAAAGATGATCAATAAAAGTATGATTTTGGAGTAATTTTCAACAAGGTTATGTCACTACATTGTAGCTGTTTGTGACATATAAAACACGAAAAGAAAAAAAAAATTATAAACATTCGGAACATAAACTTACCACAGCTGACTTTTATGTCCGTTTCTTTTCTTTGGCAAGCTTCGAGCCACTGTTTCTTTAGTTCAGACTCTTTAGGAAAATAATACAACGATACGTTGTAATTTTCTTTGTTATTACTACGACCGGTTCGGCTCTTACAGTTTTTTATGCAACACACTGGCATTTTGTCACACTGATATTTTAATATAAATAACACTCAATAACCGATAATCAACCGATAATAATAATAAATGACAATTCCATGCAATTTCACTGTACTGTCATAGTCACTCTGTACTGTCACAGAAACTCTGCAAGCAGCCATATTGAAGATTTCGTAAAAAAGCTCAAAGTCTAATTGGTTGATTGCCCCCACTACTTATAATCTACTGCGCATCCATCGGAATGGTTCACCTTTCTACTTGCATCATGATCCGGGTTGCAGGAATCGTATACGATCTTAGTGCACTATTTATAATACTTAAAATCGCAAAATCTTAAAACGCGGATACAGATAATTACAAGGTGAGCACAATGATCTTATTGCAAACAAAAAATGTAAGGTCTCGAATGATAATTTGAGTTCACTCGCATTCAAACTATCATCCAGACACAAGTGCTTAAAAAATAAGGTTATCCGGGTATCCTGTGTCTGTGATGTAACAGCCTTGCCAATGTCACTAATGTTAAAAGAAATGTATTTCTTTCTGTAAAAAAAAATTAATCTTTACCAGTGTGCCGAAATGTCGAATTTCTCTCGTACTTTGCGTCCTTTCTTGAGGTGCGTCCGTAGTCGTCATCAGAAAAGAACATATGCAGACGCAGCCGATCAAATGAAATTTACGTTTGCTGGTGCTAATCAGGTATGATGGAATGAAAATTGTATAGTGATGGAGTATAAGAGCAATTTTCAGCAAGAGATAGTGTAATACAGTGAATCACTTCATTTTCAATATTAGCAAACAACAAGGATGTATTCATTGTATAAAACTGTCCCAACTGTGTCTCTTACTAGAAAACAACCTTAATCATAATCATGCAACATTTAATGTGCTCTTTCTTGATCATCAGGTATTCTATGATCAAGCTGTAATTCGGCAAGTCGATGTACCTTCCTTCTCAGGTTCCTTTGGTATTCTACCAAAGCATGTGCCTACATTAGCAGTTTTGAAGCCTGGTGTAGTTACAGTTTATGAAGAGGACAGCTCAACCAAGAAAATTTTTGTTTCTTCTGGTACGATCACCATTAATGAAGATAGCAGTGTACAGGTATATATAAAAATGTCTTCAATACATTCAATGTAAGAAGTTTCTTCATTGAATTCTACAACAGCTTTTCGTTCTTTTATAGATTTTAGCAGAGGAAGCCCATCCAGTAGAACACCTTGATAATTCGGCAGCAAGAGATATTCTTAATAAAGCTCAACAACAGCTTTCTTCAGTTACATCGGACGTAGATAAGGCTGAAGCAGGTATTGCAGTTGAAGTTGCAGAAGCACTTGTACAAGCTACACAATAAATGTTATAAGTAATATGAAATTACATATATATACATATACTTCGACACGCTACCAGTTAGAAAAAGGCATGTGGTCAACATATGTATCATAATATTGTTGTATGATAGTGTAACAACAATAAAATGTGTTAAATCATGTATATTTATTAAAACATCATTGTGTCAAATTTTATTTTATATTAAAATTAATGTAGATGCAAAAAAAGTAGAGGATAATTGTTATAGATTCTTTATTGAGTTAGTTTTTATATTTGTTCATTAACAACATAATAAATATGCTGCTATTTACAAGCTATTTAGGTACATTGATTTTATTGCAAGTACTTTTAACAGCCATAAAAATTTTCACGCTAAAATTGTTAAAATTTAACATTTCTCCAATCTCTATTCATTATAATAATGCAACATAACACTAAACTCTAGTTAAAACTTAAAACTTAGTATCTTAGTAACGTTATAGCAATAACGTTACAAATACTTTGGATATTTATAAGTATTTGACATTTCCTGATTAACCGAGGAAATATCAAGTTCTTTTTTAGTAAACGTGCATTAGCAAAAAGCTTTTGCTCGTATAGATATCGCGTAGATATAAACAATAATGTATAATATTCTTAGGGTTAACGCTATAATTTGGGAACATACATTCAAAAGTTAAATAAATAACATTCTTAAACATACAAATATTATTACATCATTTTGATATTTATCATAAATAAAAATTTAAAAAAGAAGGTAACGTTAATATGCTGCATATATTTTCAACGCTCTTAAATTTGTGACAAATTCTTCAACAATATATATTTATAGACTAACCATACAAGAAACAGCATATTTATAATTCAAATATCAAAAGTATACTAGCTATCCATTTTTACGTTGCACAAAAAATTATCAAACATATATTTATAAAACATTTGTTTATGTCAAAATAACTTATTTATATACAATTGTATATCTTGTTGCAATTGTTCCTTGCATTTCTGTGGATATTGTCAGTTGTTAATTTTTTTTAAGTTACGTTTGTGAACAATTATTTTGAAATTACGGACATCTTGTGTATTATTATAATTATGCAACAATAATTTTGTATGTATAAACATTTTTGTAAAAAATCTACAAATATTTGGCACAAAATGTATAGAATATGTTATATGTAGAATCTCTTAACAGATTCTGTCAGATATAGCATATGTATGTACAGTCGTATATTCTCAATTTGTCTAAATAAAATATTCGAAAGGCAAAAGTTGCCCGTATTTAAAGCTATTAGGTGTAAAATCACAAATCTTTTGGGGGATTAGCATAGAGACAGCATTGTTTTTTTGCGTGACTAGTTAAAATTAATAAAGAATATTTGCGAATCACTGATTCCTTGCTACTTGACATTTCATCAAAGATGGTAACAATTTTTCCCTATGTAGTATTGCTAGTATTCTTACAACAGTTGCTAAATATTTTCTGTAGTTGCTGTAGTGTCTTTAAACAGATTACAACACAGCAAGAATCACAACCACCGGTCTCGGCGTTGCAGGAACATTTACCTTGCAAAGAAGACATAAAGTCGCTTACGAATTGTACCGTATCTTTTCTTGTTATTTCGTTGACCGGGGTATTTGTGCAATTCTGACAATTTTGTACGTTATCGCATTTACAATCAGTACATTTACATATATCAGCATCTGCAGTAATCTCCTGCAAAACATTTCTATCCTTGTTCTTTACGTTACTTGTTTTATGCTCATACTCTGCAAATTTTTGGCATTGTACAATGTCGATGTTTGCCGAAGTGTGTTCCGTATTTATTGCATTGACATTTTTTAAATTTTCTGTAGATGACTGAGTTTCCATTTCTAGTGGATAAGGCTCTGGGCCTACTAGATCTACTAGAGAATGAACTGTAGGAAAAGCATTTAGTTCTGACCAAGATTGTGCTCTCAATGCAGGCGCAGTTGCCAATGCCATCACATCTATCCAAGAGGAAGGTAATTCCTCTTCAGTCGCTATCGCGAGTTCAACGGCTTCAGACTGACTGTTTGTAACTGCATTTGCATGCAAATCCTGATTTGAAACTGCGATAAGAGACTCATTCTGTAAATTCGTATCATCGATGAATGAGAGAGTATCCATTTCGCTCTCGAAAAGATGGGTTTCGTTCGAGGAACTTATAATATCAGTAATATGACTAGTAATGCAGTTAGCACTATATAACGCATTGCTGCTATCAGATAAATCTTCTGCATTCGATTGGTTTACGAATACTTCATCAGAAGCAGTAACGGAATTATTTTTAAACTGTTTCATATTATTCGTAAAACTTGTTTCCTTAGAAATATGTGCTATTGCATTTTGTAAATCATCCTGCATAATCTTCTGCCCTAAATTTACCGGGATAGATTGATCCTGTCTAGCTATACTGTCACTATGCACTTCCGTTAATGAAGCTGACTTGTGCAGTTGATTCTGATGCCCAACAACATCCATTAAATTATCATGTTGTACATTTGATTCAGTCATTTGGTTAAATACTTTAAATTTGTGATAATCCTCATTGTTAAAAACATTAACTGCCTGTTCATTAAAATTATCTAAAATATCTGTTGCAAGAAGCGCAACTCCGGTAGTTTCATTCGAATCTTCTTTATCTTTGGTAGAAATATAACTGAGTTTTGCGTCCAACTTGCGATGCGTCATAATATCCATTATATTAGTAGGAGTTATTTGTTCTGCTGAATTTTTCGCAGATACATATGGCATGTTCCCATCATTTTGCACGAGATCTGTAGATATTGGTATGACAGCATACGATGGTATAGTAGTGTTGCTCGCGCTAACTTTTACAAGTTTCAATTGTAATTGAGTTAACCTTTTTTGCCTCTCAGCCACATCATTATCCTTGTTATCTTTATGCTTCTGTCATAAATAATTAAGATTTAATTAGATTAATACAAAACGTATTAATATTGTTAATATTTCTATTATTAATACTTACCGTATTGTTATTCATAGTTTTATTATGTGTTTTTATGTGGCTTTTTAAACTGTGAGGAGTAGTAAAACGTCGTTTGCAGTTTTCAAAGGTACAAACATATGGTCGTTCACCTGTATGTGTCCTTTTATGCGTTTTTAAATGGTGTGAAGCCGTAAAGGCCTTTCCGCAGCCCTTTTCTCTGCATCTTAAAATAAACAGGAAATGATAATCCCAAATATTTATAAAATATCCAAATATTGTAATTTTTAAAAATTATCCAAGTTTTATGATGTTTTTCTTTTGATTTATTTAATGTACTGATATAATGATTTGTAATGTCTTTTTTTATATTACAAAAACATACTTGTATGGTCTTTCTTGAGTATGAGTACGTATATGTTTCTTGAGATCGCTTAGAGTAGTGAAGAATTTGACACATCCAGTCTCTTCGCAGTTGAATGTATTGCCGCTATGAAGTCTTTGGTGAGCTCTCAGTCTGTAACGGGTATTGAATGCCTTCTTGCAGTCTTTGTGATTGCATTCGAACGGTTTTACTTTTGTGTGTACCCTAATGTGGATCTTTAGACTGTAGGACGTGAGAAAGGCCTTGCCGCAACTCGGCTCTGCGCATTTAAATCGATACTCGCCTGAAAGTTTTGAGAATTCCCTCCACATAAAAAGATTGCAGGTCTACCTATCTCTTGTAGTATCTGAAAGCCATGCAGGTCAAAGCGTTCCCTTTATACCAGCATTGATGAATTAATAATATCAATTGCAAAGCAGAAATATATAAATATTGATTTCATTGCTAATGTCACAATATGACTGAAACTTACCTGGATTCTTTCATCCATGGAATATGCAAAAACAAAAGCATATAATTTGTTAGTATAGCAGATGGAACAAACTGCATATTGGACAAGCACAAAATGCAAAGCATAATGATTTTTTTTAATGATATAGGTCAGACAATTACAGATGAGGCAACATACACAACAGTATAATGAAAATTCAATGCCAAGATGAATATTCTAAATAAGATAAAAGATCTTAAAGATTAAACTACAAAATGTGCTAAAAGTAATTATATATTTATGATCATTTTTATTATCAAGTTATATTTTTTTACTTATATGTTAGAAATTACTTATATGTTAGAGACATTGTCTGTCATACAAAAATTCTCTATTTTAATCTAATTTTATCACATTTATTATTAAAAATCCTATAAACTATATTTCTGTTCCTAATAAAAAATTATTCTTAGAAATTTACCTTTGTGTGTTTTCATATGGGTACGCAAATTTCCAATGGTACTGTATGTCCTGGTACAGCCTTCATATTGGCAATTATAACGATTGATATGTTTCTGATTAATATCTGGGTCCATACTTTCAATCGTGACAGTTTCATGAGACGCATGATCTTCAAGTAATACATCATCTTGATCTTGATGAATTCGCATATAAATTTCATCTGGACTGATGGTATGATGAATATGCCTGTAAATGTTAATACATATTTTTAATATATATATTTATGTATATAAAACTATAAATGTGTGTATGTGTGTGTGTGTGTATATATATACAGTCCCAGAATAACCGCCAAATATTTTGTATGCTGATAAAGCGGATTAAACTGAGTCGAAAAGTCTTCTACCATTTTACAATTTTCGCAATAGTCAACAAGATATTAATTACTAAAAATCGCCGAATATTGGTTTTTAATAATTTTTACTTAAGTATTATCAACTTTACAGAAAAACGGTAAGAGTTAAAAATTATTTATTTTCTTCTCATAGAGTTCTAAGAATTTTTTCAGAATTTTTTATCAATTTTTTAGTACTGCCTTTTTGTTATTGGCCACTATTTTTACCAATATGAAAAAATGCGGTAGTAAAAAATTCTGAAAAAATTCTCTCATCTCTATGAGAAGAAAATAAACAATTTGTGTCTCTTGTTCTTTTTCTATAAAGTTGATAATACTTGAGTAAAAAATTATTAAAAACCAATATTCAGCAATTTTTAGTAATTAATATTTTATTAACTATTGCGAAAATTGTAAAATGGTAGAGAACTTTTCGACTCAGTTTAGTCCGTTTTACCAGCACACAAAATATTTGACAGTTATTCTGGAACACCCTGTGAATATGTGTGCACACAAAATATTTGACAGTTATTTTGGAACACCCTATGAATGTGAGTGTGTGTGCGCGCGCGCGCGCGCGCGTGTGTGTGTGTGTGTGTGTACACATTTCTTTTACATATTTTTAAATCTTATTTTTTCCAGATGCTTAACACTATTTAAATAATATTTCTTGTGCTAAACATAAAAATTCAAATGAGAATAATTATATATTGACATTATTATTTTCTAACTTTACAATCTCATTGATATACAAAATGACAAAATTCACATGTGCCAATTTTACTATATATTTTGCTAGTAGGTTAAGTATATATAATAGAATAGTATGAGTAATACGTTTGCTATACGTAGATATCAAAATTAAATTTGTAACAAATATAGCATGTGATTTCAATGCAACAAGAAAATGCAATTGTGTCAAATTGTAAATAGTATTAGGATATACATACAAATAATATTCCTATCAATAATTTTTATAATAAAAGTATAACAAATAATCATAAAATAAAAAAATAATAAAAAATACATAATTACTTGTAATTTATTGCCTGTTCTAAGAATACAAATTGTCAACAAATAAAATAAAACATATTACATTCTATACTATCGTTATCAAATGTGTAACAATATATACGTAATATGCCTTATTTTGAAATTATTATGCAGTAGCCAAAATTTAAAACATCCAGAAACACACATCGACGATAAAATACATCGGCAATATAACCATCTCGGTATATCCATGTGCTGTTCCAACGCCGATTCTCCCCTCGAACGATTTATGAATTAAAGTTATCGTTTCAAAACTCGTATAGCCTTATAAGGAGGGGACAAAGAATACCGACGAGGGTGCAAATGAAATATCGACGATACGAATAAAGTCGTAGATTCGATTGCAAAGACAATCCCAGCGATGTGAAGAGCGAATGTGAGGATCGTGAGATGAGAGAGCGCAAAAGATGGTAATAGCCTAGAAATTTGTCCAAAATCAATCGGGACTCACTCGGCCGTGTTGTCATCGACAGGTAGCCCCTCATTGATAGCAGCATCGTCATCGGAGTACCTTTCATAATCGAATACTGCGCTCTGCTCGTAGACCTTTTCGAAACTGGACAGGTCCAAGGTATCGTCCAGGCAATCCTGCAGATCGTGTGTCACTAGGATATTATCGAAATTGCCCTCGATACCGTCCGCATTCTCGTCCTCTTGAAACTTGTCGCTCTCCCACATCGCCATACTTTTTCGGGGCTGCGCGACAAACAAATCGCGCGACAGCTCCGTCTGCGCTCTGACATAACCTACAATTTTATTGCGATACGATCGGTAAGGTAGGCCACTGATGAAATCTCATTATCGATATGGAGAAAGATGTAGTCGAAGAAGAATTGATAACGACCGCTATGCGGTTCTGGAGGAAAGGAACAAGAAAGTGAGGAAGGGACTAAAAATGGCGGATGCGAATATTCATATTATAGTGCCTTAGAGCGCGTTCACACCTTGAGGAAAAAACAGAAAGCAGAAAAGCAGCAGCCAATCTGAACTCGTGCTGGCAGTCGACAATTTCGGCTTTTTGTACTACTTACTACCAGCGCGAGTTGTGATTGGCCACTGCTTTTCCGCTTTCTGCTTTTCCGTCAAGGTATGAACGCGCCCTTAGCCTAAGACTGCCTTCCCATGGAGAAAGAAACCACGGAACGGAATATTGACAGAAAAGAGATAGGATGAGGATAACCCTCGTCGGAATCAGACTACGCATTGAAGATTGAGATCGAAGATTGAAGATTGAAATTTGACCAATGAGGGCAAAGGAATTTTAGCTCCTATTGTTTTGATTGGTCAAATTTCAATCTTTCAATCTTCAATCTCAATGCCTAGTCTGATTCCGGCCTAATGCCCGTATCACACTACGCATTGAAGATTGAGGATTGTGAATTAAGGATTAGAATTCGACCAATCAGGTAATTTTAAGTTTAATCCGTTTCGTTCTAATTAGAGTGAGTATAAAGAGAATGAAGCCAATCCTGGTTCTCCTTCCTGATTGGTTCCGCCATTTTACGATTAACTGTTAGTTAGAGGAAGGCGACGTTAGAAAAAGAAAAGGTTAGGATGAGGAATTACGTCATAAATATTTGTCGTAAAATGGCGACTTCCGGTTAATTGGCTTCACGCTCTTTATATCCACTCTAGTTCTAATTGGCTGAATTCTAATCCTCAATCTCCAATGCGTAGTGTGACACGGGCATAAGGCTGTATTCCAAAATTTACTGCCAGTGCTGAAAATCTACAGTCTACGTTACATGTACTATACATTTTCAGCACTGACAGTGAATTTTGGAATACAGACTATACTATATACTGACAACTGGCAGTAATATATGAACACGGCCGTTATG